AGAACTATATAGTGATCACATCTGGAAACACTTGCTGTAGAGCTGCTGCGCCAGCTGGTGGATCAAAATGGAACTGCTATGTAGTAGCTGAGAAAGTCCTACAACTTTTACCATAGGGTGGGTTATGGAGGCATTAGAAACCTTTAGTGGAAATATCGTCCTGTGTCTCACTGCAGCATTCCTATTACCTGTGAATGAGTTACTCCTTTACATTCAAATCAGATGAAATAGAAGTGAAACAAGTCATACAGTTGTGTAAGAAAAACTGATTTTTGAATAACAGCTTGTAATTTATTTTTTTAGATGCCACGAAACAACAGAGATTTTTTAATCAGATTAGAAGCAATTGGGGTTTACAAAAATTGGCACCTTCCAGGATTCCAAGCTTCCAGGTGACAGCATTGATATTTTAAAAGAGGGTTCTACAAAAATAAAACATTTGGGTAAAAAAGAAAATAAAAAAATAATGTTTTGTAAGTAGTGATTTTTTTAGTAATTTAGAGTAAAAATGTATCTAGCAAGCAGAACAGTACTTTCTAGTACTAATAATGAAAAGATATTCATGACAAAAGATAAAATAAAACTTAAATTTTGCACACATTATCAATGTGAAAACAGACTTCCACAAAGCCTGCATGTTGTGTGATTTTATTATCAGTAGTGGGGCTCTTTCCAATTAGAAGGAATCCATTTGCAAGGAAAATGGATCAATTATGAGCACAGAGATGGTTTAGATTTTAAAAATTTGAGAATTTTGAATTTTCATGTTGCCTGTGTGAAGGAGAGCCTGAATTTTGTAGAAGAGCAAAATCAGAGGACTGTAACAAAAATGAAATGTGAAAAATGTAGTTTGTGAAATGTGAAAAATCATTATTCCAGTCCTCTTGCTCCTGCATTATTGAGTATATCATTCTTATATTTTTAATTATTTATATTACAGTACTTCCTAACCCCCCCAACCCCCCCCAAAAAATCATTCTTTTTGGTGGGTTCTGTAGATACAGATAGTGTGGGACAAATATGCCATATTTAGTATATACAGAGATAAAAAATCCTGCCCTGATGCATTTGCAGTCTAGATAGAAAAAAGATGGTAAAAAAAAAAGAAGTATTACTATACCCATTTTATATGTGAAAAACTGAGATAGAGATGTAATGATTTTCACAGGTTTACATGGGCAGAGATTAAACTCTGATTTTCTGAGTTCCTGTCCAGCCCCTTAACCATAAGGCCATCCTTCCTCTCTGTGATACCATTGCATAGCAGAAGTTGCTACATAAAACACTACACCTGAACCAAAATATACTACAGGTGGCCAAGCAGTATACTGGTGCTTTGCCAGTTGAACTGTACTGTGGGAGTTCAAAGTGAGCCATATCATCATCATCGGCAGTCATCAGTCTTGGGAGACCGTGGAGATTGCGCCTTTGGTGCTTATGTGGCACAAGGCGATATTCCAGAATGACATTTTGGGGTTGTGAGGTAGTGTAGGTTAACAAAGACCCTTTCTGATAAATGGGGGATATTGCAGTACCCCTCATTAGAATGAACTCATTTATATTCAAAGAGTGATTCATTACTGAGACTGCTGGACCCAGGTAGATCATATATTTCCTACTGTTTTCTTAGTTTCTGACCTTTCACTTTGACTAAGCAAAACACTGACCTCAATGACACCACTCACATGCTTAAAATTAAGCACATGATCTTAGTCTACAAGGCCAAGAAGTGATATAAAGTGCTTTGCTCGACTGGGACTGTGCAAAAATATTATTTGCTGTTACACTGTATTGTCTTACATCCTTTACTGGACTACACATTTATGGAAGTTGATGATTAATTTGTATTAATGGCATCCATTCCTCAGTGAGTGATGGTGGATATTACAGCTATTCTACTGACTGGTCATGCATTTTCTCTTGTGGCTGTAGAGTTCAATGTTAGACTTGCAGGTCTTACCACAGTGGTCACAGGTGTACAAAGCATTAGGGACTACTGTACTGACAAGCTATTTCCATTGGTCACCTTTCTGTTGTAATTTGAGTACCCATTTCTCATTGTGATGTTGGACACCATGTTTGAGAAGGGAGTATCACTTTGTCTTGTTTCCTTTTAAGGTCTCCCAAAGGTTTGGGTTTGTTCCAAAAGCCTTCATGTCCTGCTTACAGATGTCTTTGAAGTGCAATTTCAGGTGCCCTACTCTTCTCTCCCCATCTGCAATTTGCCCATACAGGATATGGAAGCAGCTGCTGATTATATTACAAGACTTGTCTATTCTCCAATTGTAGCCCTAACAGAAATACTTGTCAGGTGATGATATGGGAATTCCATGGGAACTTACAGTTGACAGAAATATACCTAAAAATGAAGCAAAAGTAGCACTGATTTGTATCTATTTGGGATGATGGAGAAATCTATACAGTTAGGCTTTAATCCATTAGCTGAGACTTGAGCCCCCACTCAGCTAATGGGGGCTGGAAAGCCTATTTGGAAAGCCTTAAAAAAAACCTTCATTGAATTGTTAATAAAGTGTGGTACCCTTTTTTCATTAAAGAAGTCCAGTTTGATTTCTGCTTAGGGAAATGCATATCATGCGGGAAGCTGAAAATGTAGTGTTGTGTATTCAAACTACTTTTGGTGCTCCTGATTTAGCAGAGTTAATCTCATCTTCTCATAAAAAGTGTTACTGGCCACATATATAGATCATTATTCCCTTAACAACCATCACCACAGGATTAATGAGTCCTTTGCAGGCAGTGAATAAGTATGATTTATCATTGACAGCAATGCCAATGTAAAATGGATTTTGTGTGGTTAAATAAATAAATAAACAAGCCCACACAACTGAATAGCTGTTGATGAGCTGTAGACCAACTTCAATCACAGTATAATTGCTGCCATCATTTCTAATTATTTGTAAATATGTTTATAATTATCAAAATTAAAACAATTAGACATCCTTCCTTCCCTCTTCTAAGGCTAATATTTCAAAGTTTAACACAGTCTGGGAATAGGAGAGGTAAATTTAGTTAAGAGCTTTAGAAAAAATAACATTGCGGTAGCTCTTTTCTAAAATATACAGATATGCAAAATCAAACATTAAGGTCTTCCCTCCACCACCAAATATATATATATATATATATATATAGGCCAGAACACAAGTCACTGTTAGTGGAAAAAATATTACAATGAAATTGATCTCAAACACCTAAAAAAAAAAAAAAAGGTCAAATGCCTAAGTAAAATGCACTTATGAAGACCCTTTATCCTGTGACTCAGTAGACCATTGAAATGAATCATTTCTACATGCATGGTTTCTCAAGCAGCACTCCAAAGTAATCATATTTCTAATATCTTTCCTAGGATAAACTGAGCCAGAAATACATGTTTACTGGCTGAAGCATGGTATGATGGAATATACATCTCTTTCCAGGATCAGCTGGGATTTCCTTGTTCTGAAGAATTTCAATCTATTCCATACAGAGCACTGGTAGCTTTCCCAATGAGACAACTACAGCTGCTACTCATAAATACTGACAGGACTGTCACGGTCTTGTGGAGTTCTCAGAGTATAGCTCTTAAGGAGTGATTGATTGGGTCTCTTGCCTTGATTTTCTTGATTGGGAAGCAGGATTATAAAGCTGTCCAAAGCAGGGGCCAGCATCCTACAGTTCATGGGTTGGATCCAGCATGCAAAGCCACAGCTTTGGCAGCAGGAGGCTTTCTGCTCACACTATGCCACAGCCTGGCAGCAGAGGCTTTGGTGTAGAGGGATCTCTCGCCATGCTGTACCACAGCTGGGTAGCAGGGCGAAATGACAGAGGCGGACGGATCCTAGTGCCAGCCTTCCTCTGACCCACGTTGGGTCATTTCAGCCAGCTGCCAGAAAATGTTGCCCATCCCTGGCCTACGAGTCTTGATCAGTGTATTTACCTTCCTTGGGGTGGAGAGGCAGAGGGGGAATTTTTAGGTCTGAGTGCATTTTTCATGTCTTGGCAGAAGCCTTAGGGACAAACTCAACTAGTTTTATCTCTACTCCCCACTTATAAATGAACCTTTTTAGGTCCTGACCCTGTGTTATTATATAGAAATAGTCACTGCCAAACTAGAGTCAAATCCCTTTGGGGAGTAGTTGGGAGAAGCCATAACAAACAGTCATTTGAAGCACAACTCTGGAACAAATAGAGCAGTGGTGCCCAACCTTTTTTTGCTCTGACCCTAAATTGGCCACCAACAGGACCTCCCGACCCGGTGCTGCGGGTACTGCTGGGAGCGGAGTGCTGTGGCAGTGGTGGCAGCAGCCCAAGGGGGGGGGAGCTGCCATTGTGGGGGGTGGCCCCTTTCCGCCCACCTGCCTGCCTGCCACTCCTGGGCCATGTGCATATATGTGTGTGTGCATGTGTGTGCGGGCCCTTCATGGTCCTACTGAGGACCCCCGGTGACCCTGATTTGGGTTGCGCCCCAAGGTTGGGAACCAATGAAATAGAGGTTAGTGCAACTGGATAACATAGTAGAGGCAGTGGCCATCCATGTGGAGGCTTCTGTTGATCCCAGAAGTCTACATACAGGGGTGGATGGGGGGATGCAATGGTGCATTTGCACCTTTGATTCCTGCTTCACCCAAAGTTTAAAACAAGCTGCCCAGCAGTGGCAGCAGCATTCCTATTCAGGCAGAAGTGAGGGAGTCACTTGAATTCATGGGTCATTATAATCTGCCTGATTCCTTCTAATCTCTTCATTCCACAGGTGTTAACAAGCCTCCCTCTTTTTTTTTTAATACTCTTCAACTACTATTTCTTTCTCAATTCTGCTGTCTGCTAGCTGTCCTGATACTGTCTTTCCTATTTAACAGCCCTGCAGACACTTTTTTAACTCTAGTTAAAACATTAACTCAGGTGGGGGAACATTTGACTTTGTTTTATGACTTTGAAAGAGATGTACATTTAATTCGAATGACTACAAGGCAAAAGAGACAACATCTTTTGAGTATTTTTTGCTTAGTTTGTTGTGTTTTTAATACATAATATAGCAAATTACATATATCAAATGAATACACATTCTAGTAAAGTTGTATTTATTTTCACTTCAATTTTAATATGAATAATATAGCTCTAGGCCCCTAGAATATTAGTAAAGCTTCTAGTTTCTTTTTACCTGGAGAAAAATATGTGTTATGTTCTCTGTGATGATGCATCACATCTGCACACCCCTTTCAAAATCCTAGCTCTGTCCCTGTCTACATAGATGGATTAAATGGGGTAGAGTCCCTTCACTTCCTTTGCAGGAGAGAATCACCCTCCTAGGTTCCCCAATATACAGAGTTTACTAATAAAAACTGTCCCCTTTAACATTAAGGATCCTCAGTAAAGATTTTAAAATTTGGCACATTGTGCAACACTTCTAATCACACTGATGTTGATCTGTGGGGAAAAACTGAACCACAAGTATTAGGCTTACAAGGATGGTGATTATATTACATACAGTCATATCATTTTTCAAAAGTTTGTCCTTGTGATTTTGCTTTACTTACAGCAAAAAAAACCAAAAACAAAAACAAACAAACAAACAAAAACTACTACTATTGGATGAGCAAAACTGGTTATCCACACGCCCTAGATAAGAATTGTTTAAAAGTTAATAACAAAAATGTAACTATGCTATAAAAAGATTTGTACAGAACTCAAACTGCTAATTCTCTCGTTACTGATTTTGACAGATAAATCTACAGCAGGTCAGAAAATTAAGTTAGTGAGTCATACAATGTGAAAGTGAACGAACATATTTCCTCATTCAAAGTAAGGCATTCACTGTGTCATCTGTGGCTGATAACTTTACCTCAGTATGAAACACCCATATGCTTGGCAAATTCCCTTTAGTTAGCTACATGCCTCACTAGTCATGTCTGGTTTCAGATGTCTCAGATGCCAGCACTTATAGAAATGACAAAAGCTGCAGTAAATATTAGGGGGAAAACCGTTCTCCAAATAAATTGGAGACTTATAAGTGATGAAACATGGTCTAGTTCAAATCTCTTTAATAGAGATCTCTAGTCTGTTTGAAAGCTACTGACATCAAATGTATGTCTATGGACCAAAACTAAATTAGCCATATAAGTAAGATGATAAATCTTAAAAACAGACACAAATCGTTAGACAAACCTTGACTAAACTTTGACTGCTCAGGATGAACATAAGCACACAAACAGAGAGCACACACAGGGATGCATGTAATATAAATGATGAAGGAGTAAGAGTGATATGCTCAATAGGTGATCTGAAAGAGAAATATTTACTTAGATATTGCTTTCAAAACCTAGGAAAATAAGGGAGGCTGATCTGTTTTGGCTTATCTTGGCATCTATACTACACTTATTAAAGTGATATCTATGTGTTTAGAACATTCTATAAATAAGTTTAATAAAAGATCTATCCTTTTTTAGGCATTTCTCCAAAATATTAATTGGTGAGTTACTTGTATGCTATAGACCACATATTCCTCCCACTGCTGCAAACATCACCATCAGTGACATCAGTGCTTACAGTGACACCTGCCACATGTACACACCCACCTTTACTATGCACATTACACCTGTTCTTAACACTGCCAAGTGATGGTCCACCTCATCTGAAAGCCTGACAATAGACCAATCTAAAAAAAAGACTCTAGGACAGGTGGTCATTGCACTCACCTCTTCTTTCTCTCTTTCCGTGGAGCTCTGGCTCTTATTGTCCATAAAGCACTGTAGAGTGAGAATGGTGACCCTGACTATACTGCTGTTGTGACCTCACTTTCACTGGTTTTCATACTGGATCGCCTCTTTTCCTATGACCACATTCAGATTTATGTTAACATCACCACCTTTTCTTGCACACAGCAGCTGGCATATACCAAAGGCTCACTGTGTACACCATGCAACTGAACTTGCTGTGTGCTTGGGAAAAATTATATCAGATGGGATTGTGTGATGTATTTTGCCCTTAATTTGTTGTTTATGGAATAATGTACCTTTTTCCTTGCTGTTATTCTGCACACCAGGGTTGCTGACAGTCCTTGCAATTTACTGCAATAAAGTCAATATTGAGGTAAGGGAAATTACTCCTTTTTACAGTCATCCAGAGTAGTTTGTATCCAATTTCTAGAGTTTTATCTGATAGATCGCAGTACCCAGGGCCATGTTGTGCCATCCATATTTAAGCAGAATTCCCTGATGAAATCAATAGTGAATTCTGCTTAAAATGGATGGCAGGTACGGCCCTTAGAAATCAGTCCCTCTTTTCTAATGAGTACCCAAAGGAGATTCTAGCCTTGAGATGCTTAGGGTCAGATATTTCAAGTGACCTTAGCAAAGCTCATACTTTAGTGTAAAGGTTTGTAGATGTATGTTGATCTGCATTTTGTAATATTTTAACAGCCCCCCTTTAAAATGGCATTATTCACTTAAAATCCAGAAACCATACAAGGATGCATACAATGCAGTCAGATTTGACTGGGCTGCTTTGTTCCAAATACAGGTGAGAGATCTGTTCGTCTCTGGCATCACTCCACAGATATGCAACATTTCTATAGTTATGTCAAGTTCTTCTTCTGCCAGGAAAAAGGCCGGGCCGAACATGCTTCCTTTGTCACTGGAAAGAATCCATTCCAAAATGCCATCCATCTTTGCAAAGATAAAAATCAGAGATTGAGGGAAGACTTTAAACATGATAATCTTCTGACACTTGAAAAGACAAATGAATTGCTGTTCATGAGCTGGCATGTCAACTTACTGACCTACCCTGGTCATTTGGAGTCTTGAATTGCATGAAAATGCAGAGCGGAAGAGAACAGAGCAGTTACATGACCCTTAGAGGGACAGGACAAGGGTTTCAAAAGTGACTAGTGATTATAAGTGTCCAGTCCTGGATTTTCTTTTTTTCAGGACCATATAAGGAGTCTCTGGCTGCGTAACTGAACAGAGACACTTGAAATCACCTGTCAGTTTTGAAAATCTTGGCTTTACTCATTAGATCTAGCTATAATTCAGATTTGTACAGCACTAGTCACTATAATACATTAGTTTTCATGAACAGCATGTGAGAATTCATTTAATTGAATGCAAATTCTGTCAAGTACCTTTTCACGCATAACCTTTTCATGCAAGTACCTTTTCATGCATAACCTTAACATGCTTTTTTCCTAATGACTCAATATTTTTCCACTGGCAAACACTGGGGAGGAAATTCTGCACTCCTTATGTTCACTTTAATAGCTAGTTTATTAGAATAAAGATTGTAGGTTTTCCCCGTTTGACCTGTGAACCTCCTATAAAGTCAAAGGAGCTGTGCATGAATTATTAGTCAGGACAGAAATAAGTGTATGTTTTTAAACAAGCTTAATATTAATCATCTGTTTTCCTACTTCTATGTACATCTAGATTGCATTTCATTTAGCCTCAAAGGCCACATCCACATGAGCGTGGACGTTTGTTTCCCCATGGGACAAGTAGCAGTGGCACACCTTGTGCCGCTGCTATTTGTCCCCAGGGAACACCTGTGTCACACACCCTCTGGTACATGACAGGTTACTCTGGGTGGGGTAGGGAAGGCTGGAGCCAGCAACTGTGCTTTCCCCAGCAGTGTCACCTAGAGTCCTGGGGGCTTTGGGGAGCTGCAGCTGTGGTGCTTCTGCATCTGGGAGCCTGGCCAGCAGCCGGAGTGTGTCTCCAGCTGGCCAGGCTCTGGTTTGGGGCAGTGTGCTGCTGCCACGTGCACTTCCCCATTTTTTTTTTAGCATGGGTTTTTTTGACCCCAGAATCTCCCAGGGTCAACTCCTCCCCCCCTTACAAGATAGCAGCACGAGGAATGCCTTCATATGCCATGTGTGGTGCTGCAGATGGGTCTGCAGTACCACATACCGCATGTTCATGCTTGTCTGGCTGTGGCCTAATAGTCATGTGTGGATACTTTCCCCGTGAACCCTGTATAGGGGGAAAAAATGCCTTCTTTTTACAATTTCCTGCAACAGCTGATAAGATTATTTCATGATTTGTGCTGCATTTTTAGAGACACTCTTGCATTTGAAAATACATTAAGTTATTGCAGGATTTTATTAGATTTCTAAAATAGCTCTATTCCCCCATTATTTTCACACTGGCCAGATACTAATCTATCAATTGAATATATTTGAGGGCTGGTTCACTCCAGTCATTATGAAAGGTATCTGTGGAGTTCAGTGATCCAGTTTAAACAAATAAAATCAATTCACTTCTTGGCAGTTTTATACCATCCTACCCCTTGAAATTTCCTCCCTGCTGAAGTAGAATGATTTGTTTGGACTCTAATGAAAATTGTTTTCAGGTTGGAAAGGACAAAGAAGGTCATTTTCTTGCTTAAAATATTGTGCATTGTTTCAGCTTGCCCATGTGTTTTGTAATGGGGGAAACTGCCTATTAACAACATTGAATTGCAAGCCATGAAGCTCTGTGAGCAAATAAAGTATGGGATGGTTCAAGGCAGCAGCTCTTAACCTTTTCCATCCTGTGACCTCATGCTATAATGGAAAGGTTTCCAGACCCCCAGTGCCCTATAGGAGCAAAAAAATCAGGTGATTGTAAGACTGAAACCCATTCATGACTCACATAATGATCATAACACCAAGTATAGAACCCATGATTCAGAAGATGGATAACAGGTTACTAGTGGTAAATCTGTATCACAAATCCATCCTAGCCTAGCAGTGAACAAAAGGCAATATAATCAGTGTGGAGGCACATAGGATGATGTCTTCAAGGTAGCCAAAGGGAGTAGTGTTCCCAAATCCTATCAACTTTCAGTGTGCATTTGAAGCTCCTAATTCATTGAGGCATCTTAAAAAAAAATCACACCTCTATTCACTAGTGAACTGGAAGGAATAGTTTGATCCCTAATGGGCACCTGCCTGCACTGCTAATGACACTGCTACATGGCACTGACTGGTTCCCATGCTGGCAGCCTCAGTGAAAGGCCAAAGATTGAATGAGCTACAGGGTATGTAGTACTTCTAGCTCAGGTTAAAAGTACTAGAGTGTGTGGAAGCTGGCAGTGCCACTATACTGTGCCTGCCTTCCTACCATGATCTCAGTTGTTATTAAGGTATCACCTGTTCTATGCTTCAATAAAGAACTGGATTTTTCAGGGCTCCTATCTGATGCCTTTCAGTAGCAACTAAATTAATTCTAAAGAACTATAAACAGAAGCTTGATACCAGTTTTACTGAAAGATGTTATCACACATAGCACCAGTATACATTTTCTAAGCAAAGGGTAACTGAGATGTTTGGCCTTGCTGGATGCTATACTCAGGAAAAGTGGGTATTTACTCTTGCTCCTTTAACTAAAAGGCTCATAAATCAAAGGATGTTCTCAGACCATCACCTTTTGCTGAAGCTATGCCTACAATACAGAAGGGATGCACATCAGGAACCATTGCTGGCAGAGAGTATGCCTTGAGGCAGATCCCAGTAGGGCAGGTAAAGGAATCTTTTCCTTATAGTTGAGATATGAGACTACTAATAGCAACAGGCTGCCACCTACACTGGGAATATTAAGGTAGGAACTCTGAGATCCAATGATTGTGACTGGACAGGGACCTTACACAGCACCCACTTAGGCAGTCTCATGCACAGACTATTGCTACTTTCCAGCCACTTGACCCTCCTGTAATATTTAGGGAGGAAGAAATGCCTGAGTCCATAGTATTTCCCAAGCTGCCTGGAGTCACGTTGTGTCATTATCCTAGCAAAAAAAATGTGTGGGGTGGGGGTAGAACCTGCTGTATAACTGTGTTGGCTGACATGCATGGTATACATTGCGGGTCCCCTTCAGAGGTGAAGTGGAGAGCAGCTGAAGGATTTTAGCATCAGGGAGCAATGTTTCGGTGCACCCTTGGTTCATAACCCTTTAGCCCTCATCCTTCTGCAAAGATAAACCAGAGCTTGTTTTTTCATGTAGGCAACATATTCTCTAGCCAGATTTTCAAAAGGACACAGTATCCTGAGGACTCAGCTGTACTGATATCTGACCATCATTGTCACAATAAGAGCAACAGGCTGCTGAAAATTATTTGAAATTCTGGCCCCCAGGGTGGATAATGGAACCTGTTGCTGAAAAACATTAATTTCTTATATGTGATTGACCTGCAGTTGAAAAATCCTAGATCCATTCAAGGGGCAGCTGTGAGGAGATAGGAAAGAAAGAGTGATCCAACAGTATGGCATGCTTATGGCAGTGATTTTCAACCAGGGTGCTGTAGTACCCTAGGGTGCCTTGAGATCCCTTCGGGGGGAGGGGAGAATGACACAGTGTTAGCACTGTAAGGTGTGCAAACATGATTCATAAGATAGATTCCTATTGAAAATCTCACAATGTATCATGTTAAATACATTCTGAGCTGTTGTGGTCTTTCTGAGTTCCCTGCAACAGAAAAACTACTCTATTATTTTCCTATGGCCAAAAAATGAGTGAAAGCTAAGAGCTGACATTTTCCAAAGGAGACCTTGGGTATAATAAGGGGTGCCTTGAGTCTTAAGAGATTGAGAACTACTGGCTTAGGGTGACTACAATAATATTCATGCCTAGCTCATATAGCACCTTAGTGAATCTCATACAGGCTACACTAACCAAACCTTATTCTGAGCTCTCCTCAGATCTGTTCCAATCAGCACTGTGTACACCACAGGGAATAATGCAATTATGTGCTTGCGCAGTTTTGTGCATAAAACGTATGACTGTGCATAATTTTGCATCTTTTAACCTGGACCAGCTCTATGCCTCCAACTCTGAGGGGCTCCTGGCACTCCAGCTGGGAGCCCCATGTGGAGGTACCGAGCACAGTGGTGCATGACTGGACAGCTGGTGAGTGGGCAGGAGAGGTCCTGCCTGCAGGAGGGGGTAGTGGGCAGGGGGTGTGGGGGGGGGGGGGGGCCCCCCTTGCCACATGCCCCTCCCTCCCCCCCACCCAAGGTGCACAGCCCCTGCTGCTGCCAGCAGCAGCAGCATGCAGCGGGCTCTTGGAGTGGTCATGGCTGCGTGGTGCATGGCTTCAGCTGAGTCCTGGGGGCTGCACATGGCAGCATGGAGCTGGCCTAGCCAGCCCACTGGTGCACGGCATCAACCCAGACTGGGCCGGCTCCATGCCAGCATCTGGGGCTTGCAGCACTGCAGTCGGGAGCCATGCACCATAGGGCTGAGCTGGGTCTGTGCCTCCATGTGGGGCTTCCAGCACTCCAATGAGAAGCCACACACGGAGGCACCAGAGCCAGTTTGGTCCAATGGTGTGCAGCTACCTGCTCCCAAGTGCAGCTTCCTGCTGGCATGCTGGAAGCCCCATGTGGAGACATGGAGCCCACCAGGCCCAATGGCCCACAGCTCACACATGCAGTGCCATGAGTCCCATGTGCTGGGACAGAGCCAGTCCAGTTTGGTCTGAAGGTGTGGGCCAGTGGGCCAGTCTGGTTTGGTCTGAAGGCGTAGGCCAGCGGGCCAGTGCAGTTTAGTCTGAAGGTGTGGGCTAGTGAGCCAGGCCATGTCAGCTCTATGCTGCCATGTTCAGCCCCCGGGACTCAGCACTTAATTTTGAATTTTTCTGAGCATAATTCCCTGAAGGGTAACTATGCCATATGAACCAGTAGATGTTAAATGAAAGACTCAAAATATGATCACAGAAAAGTCTTACCAATTTAAGCTGCTTGACCACCATTTTCTGCTCCAGACAGGTTGCAAGGAGGGGCAGCATTCTAGAGTCCAGATCTGTGAGAAATAAAGCAAAAACCTCAGGGAAGGTCAAGAAAAGAAACTGTCAGTCACCTCACCTGTGCTGAATTTGACTAGGGATTTTCTACTGAGGCACAAAGTTTAACATGCCATAGAGTCCCCCATGCTTCTTTTTCTTTTTGTTTGTTTTCTATAAAGCCCTGAAGATCTGACCTTAAACCTAGAAATCCTTTAACTTCTGACCACAGTCCTTCCAGCCATGGACTTCATAGGATTTTCAATAGCAAAATGCTCGCTCGCTCTCTCTCTCTCTCTCTCTCTCTCTCTCTCTCTCTCTCTCTCTCACACACACACACACACACACACACACACACACACAGCAATGGTAAAGAAGCAATAGTTTTGACAGAAGGCTATGCCAAGTTCCACATGCTCCAGGACAAATAATGAGACTTGGTTAGTAAAAATGTATAAGAAATGGGAAGGCTGCAGAATCCCATAGCAGAAAGCTAAAAGGCAAGAGAAGAGGACACGAAGAATAAAGTCAAATCTAGTCATACAGCCATTCAGAACAGTGGTGCTCAACCTTTTGGTGCTGTGGGCTGGTTGAGTGGCACAGGGCCAGTCCATGGGCCAGATTGGACCCCACACACTAGGATCAGCTCTCCCTCTCCCTGCTCCACAAAGACTGACATACTGCACTGCCTCCAGCCATCCCCTGTGTGTCCCTGGGCAGGAACCATCTCTGCATGCTGATCTAGCGTGCTATTCAACTCAGGGGCTCCTCACAGGTCCAGATATTTGGCAGCAGGGGAGCAACAGTTAATGCCACTACTTTCCTATTGCCAAGTTTTTGAACCTGTGTGACCCCTGCAGAACAGATGGCGCGGCTCCATGGGCTAGACCTGGCCCATGGGCTGGGGTTGAGCACCCCTGATTCTGACCGGGCCTTGCTAAGGGGCAGTCTATCCTTGACATTTTTTCTTAGCCTTTTCATGTTAGTTGCCTTTTATTCAAAGTCATGCTCTCCCCTTTCATTTACTGTAAAAAATGTTCTAAATATCAATGATAAAAATGCTAAGCTATACATTTGTTTTCATGTTTTTTTCAAGAGAACACTTGATTTTGAAGGGGAAGGCTATGTAAAGAATGGGGAAATCAGATTTTTGTTTGCTTTAGCTTGTAATAAAACTTTCAATGTCTTTTGCCTCCTTGACTGCCTTTTGTGTGGCCCCGACCCCTGGAGGACTCTCCAATTGAGAAACATTATGGCAAAAGTAACCCAATTTTTTTTACTGATTTGTCTAGACTTCTCCAGTCTTTCCTAATCTTATTTAATCTGTGAAAGTAACATCTTTGTTTTTCACTTCCCCCTCACCAATATTTTTTCTAAATTCATGATTAGCGGAAGGAAAAATGTATACAACTTAAATAGCAAATGAAATTACAGCCCTCCTTGTCTTTGATTTCCATGAACCTCATGTTCAAACAGCTTGTTATAATTTTCACACCACCCACAAAACAACAAAGTCAATCTTGCACCTGCTCTACCATGACTTAGATCGAAGATGCACGCTCATTCAGAGTGTTGCCCGTCCTATTTTAAGGAATGCATTTGGGTTCAGTCTGTCTGCTGTAGGCAGTTTACATATTTGAAATCTGTGACCTGGAAGAAGCTAAACCTGTAAAGATCCATTCCATTTTTCCACAGATCTGTAGCAGAAAACATCAAATGGGAATGGACAGTTGTCTTGGCTGATCAAAATATTTCTGGATCTTCCCCACTCTTGTTATACTGGGGCTGGGCTTTTCCCGACATGAGGCAGCTCTCATTCTAAGGCTGCTGCTTTCAATCTGTTAAAGTCTGTTTCTTGAGGTAAGGATAATGTGAAAAGTGCTTGCCACTGGGTTTGGTTCTTCCAGTAAGACTCTGATAGCCTAGAGGCATGACACCGTACCAGACAAATTGGAATATCCTGAATATGCCTATGAGCATAACCTCCCAACTCTGCCAAATACATGTACCACTGGAAGAAAAGCATACTGACTGAACAGCAATAATATCAATGATCTAAAAGAACCAGAAGATGGAGGGACATGTCAGGCTGAGTTCTCTCAAATTCTCAGAAGACAGCCCTGACTTTGCGTGAACACAAAGGCAATAGAAATTCTACAACCCTCTGAAAAATAAAAAGGCCAGGCAGAAAACTCAGATGAGTGGCTGGACACAAAACTAATTGAAGTCCAGTACATTAAAATACAGAACTGTATATGGGGACGTAGTTCCTCATGGATAAGGATGATCCATCCTGCTTTCTCCAAGTCAGAAGTTTTTCAAGTAACTTAGGGCTCTCTGCCCATACTGATTAATATCTCCATACCTTCTAAAGAAGAACACAGGAAGTGTAATGGTTGCCATAATAAATGTGCTTCTCCTCTTTCACCCTCTTGAAAAACCCCTAAGTCCTGAAGCAACTTTTCCACCCGAGGCTGGAGATTTTCATCCAGGGAATCCAACACTGAGTGCATAGGTTCACCCCCAGCCAGGGAAATTTCCAGCTGATAGCAAATAAATATAAGAAGGGTGGGAAAGGGAAGAAAGCTGTTAATCAGGGTTCAGATGCCTACTTCAGAAACATGTGTACATGCATGTGTGCACATGCACCAGGCAAACAAATGTGAGAATTTTTTACTTGTATAACCACTGAGGAGTATGTTATATGGCTCTGTCTCTATATTTGAACTGTAGTGGTTAGCCTGTTACAACTTCAGCTAACAAGATATTGATGCTTCAGCTCCATCTGTATCACTTCGTGCTTTTAGCTCTGCTTGTCACCACATCTGTTGCAGCTGTGTTGGTCAAGGCGGCAGCTATCTCATTTGAAAAGGTACTTCCCTTTGTTTATATGAAGAACAAGTACTTTATAGACAGCAAGATACACGAATACACTGAGTCAGTGGGTGCGTCTATACAAGAAGCTAGAAGCACAGTAGATTAATTCTACTGCACATTTGCGTGTCACAGCAAAAGCTGTGCTAATGTGCAGTAGAATTAGTCTACTGCACATTAGTGTCACCAAAAAGATGTGCACTGGTGTTATTGTGCAATAGTGCTGATTATGGTGCATTTAGTTAGCACATGTTATTAATGCGTGTGTAGACATGCCCAGTGTGTCTCAAACTTGATCCAAAGGGGTCACAGCAAAGTAGACTAGAAGTTAATTCTGTCTCCATGATCCACTCCATCCTTGATCTCTTTTCTGAAACTGGCAAATAGTGCCAACTACATGGTATTTTTGTGATGAGAATGCCTGTCTCCTTCACGCTGTATGGAGACCATTAAGCAAATAGGAATAAATCTCAGTCATTACACACTAGGCAGGATGCAATACAGTGACCTAGAGACAAAAGGCTAGACCCTGTATCCTATTACTGATTTCCTCAGTCATCTGTCCCCATGGTAAATGTAATGCAGGGGTGAGCAAAATGCAGCCTGCAGGCCGGTTGTGGCCTACTAGGCCATTTTATCCGGCCTGCGGGGCCCCTAAAAAAATTAGAAAATTAATATTTTTCTGCCCCTGACTGCCTGTCATGCAGCCCTTGATGGTTTGCCAAAACTCAGTAAGCGGCCCTCCCCCCGAAATAATTGCCCACCCCTGATGTAATGGCTAAAGTGGTTCCCCATCTATGGTATGTGTACCACCAGTAGTACTCAGGCCACCTGTCAGTAGTACACATTAACAGATTTATTATAATTACTTTATATGAAAAAATTTGCTGGCGGTACTTCAGGTTGAGCTGAAGTTGTATAATTTTAAACTGGTGGTGTGCAATCTGTCAGAGTTTGGGAACCCCTGGAAGTATACTGTTTCTTCTTAACACTAAATCTCCTTTATTTTGCTCGAATACATACAGTGTTCAAAACACAGTAACCCTAGCAGGGACATGTGAAGACTTCTTAGTGCAAGTGCAAATTAGAATCTGCACTTTAAATCTTTCCTTTCTGTAACCTACAACCTACATTTTCTTTTCAAAGCCATTGGTCTCAGCATTGGAATTCCCATGTGGGGGCACAGTCTACCAATAGATCTGGTCAATTAGCTCTGTTATGTCTATGGTAGGTTACAGTGTTGTAGCGAGCAATCAGTTGGAGTGATTAATGTGCACCTAATCTTTATATAAGAGGCACTTGGTTTGTGCTCATTTCACAAGTGAACCAAATCAATGCATTTCTTGGATTAATGTGAACACATACAATGATTTAAAGAGCACCTACCAGAGTTTGCACAGTTGATATAATGTCACCATCCTGCAGAAAGCTCAAAAAGTTTTCCAGCAGATTGAGCTTGAGACTTTGACTCAGATATGTCAACTGCTCATATTCTTCTTTAACAGTGCTCTTTACTGTTTGAAATTCTGATGGAAGGTACAGGGTTTGAATTACACTTTGACTCTTTGCGGGGGGGTCATTGATTAACAAGTCCACCTAAGTGAAGGAGCAATCCAATTGGAACCCCCCTTCCCCCCCCCGGGTTATGATTTTCAAATCTTATAAAGGGACTCTCATCTCCTGGGGGTGGACTCAGCCCCCACCGAACACCTCCTTAATTCACACCCTGGGTAGGTAAAAATCAACCTCTTAGATCACAGCCAGTTGCTAAATCGAATGGGTTGGTAAGTTCTTCTACCAACTCCAATCATAGAGGAATGTTATTTAATGTTCTTATTATATTAATCATGGGGAATATTGTTTAGTGTTTGTAATATATAGGGCTAACATGGGAAACAAGGAGTCAAACAGTGAGGCAAGATACAGTGAACGTCACAGAGCTGCTGTACCAGATAGCCAAGGACTGAGCCATGCTGCATCTCTAATTCTGGGCTCTGAAGTTCCATTCCCAGTTCTGTCAGGGGCTCATTTTGGCCCCGCACAGTAGAGGCTATTAGTTGTCTGGGTGGGCCTTAAGGTGGTACGTTAGCTTGGAAGATACAACGGGCTCGTTTTGTAGCTCTGAGCCTGTCTGTGTCTAAGTGCCTCAGTTTCTCCCAGAAATGAAATGAGTATGGTGATCTCTCTCTGATGAGAGTGTGGTTTGGATTAATCAGGACATGTTGTTAACCTCTGTGAGAGTTACTAGACATGTGAAT